ACGTGACGTGGCCTTCATCTGTCTTTGTTACATATATTTTCATGAATATTGTTGTCCTTGGTGCCTCGACTGCCATGAATTGACACATAATACTATATTGGCAACTAGGTCTCACCGTTTTAAATTTGAAAGATCTAGATGCAACCGTCTAATAGTTTCTTTTCTCGCCTGTGGAACTCCCTTCTGATTTCTTGCTTCCCTGTCAACAACAATCTTCAAAAATTTAAATTCAACGTCAATCGCCATCTTCTGTTTTCCCGAAACCTGTTCCTTTATCTTTTTCTCACTTACCTTCATTAAAGTATTTTCATTCTCTCTCATCGTTCCCACCTACATTCAGGTGGCACTATCGTCTTGCTTGAGGTAAACTGTTTAAAAAGATTCAATATGCTGTGCTAAGTATAGTTTTCTTCAATACCGCACGATGTTACAAAACCAAAATATTGACCTAAGAATTCGAATTATCTTCTCATATAGCACTATATAATCTTCCTGGCGTTTGAATCCTTCAGAAATGGCTAAACTATCAACTATATAACACCGTTTTCCTAGATCAATTATTACAAATAGCTTCAAGCTTATGACTCCTTCTAGTCTAAAAGGTCCTCTTTCATCAGATCTTATAGAATGGTGATACAGAATCGCAAAGAACTTTACGAAATAACTGAAACCCAAGGTTTTCAACAGCAGCAACAACTAAAATGGATAGCACATGTAACTCAAAGAGAAAATAATGACATAATAGTGATGTTGACTTTCTACACTACCCTCTGAACAAAAGTTGAAAAAGGAACACACACCCCCGCCAATACTAGAAAGAGTGATAACAGTGCCGTGCGAATTATACTTTCCTTAAAAACTGCTTGAATAGAATCATTTTTAAAAAATTTCAGAGCAACGCCATCTTTTCAGTCAATGAATCCCGAATCTTCCTCTCATCATTATTATTATTATTATCATTACTGTCACCCAAATTAACAATGACACTCAGAAATCTCGTGTGATTATGCAACTAAGAAAACAAATAATAATAACAATAATAATAATGCCAACGAGGCAAAGAAGAAATAATTACCTGAGAAGGAGAACAAAATAGGTATGCCTGGTTAGGAATAGCGATACACGGAGAATTGTGCAAGGGGCTTGGATTTGACCCTGAAAACAAAAGTAATAAACAGGAAGCAGGAAGAAAGTTGTCTTAGAGAAGATTGTTTAAAATGCCATGTCTCTTCATAACGTAGAATCCTTTATCTCAAATTCTTGGAACCGGAAGTGCTTCGGTTTTCAGATTTTGGAATGTAGGCTATTTTATTTGTGTATAGCATCTATAAAATAGGGCAGCGAATGGAACCCAAACTTAAAAACGATATCCCTTTACATTACACAGCTTATAGATATATCCTGTATGTAATTTTATATAAAATTTAATAAATCTTGTGTACAGGTAATGACGCTAATTATGTAATACTCACACCGATTTTAAGTGGTAAAATTAAGATTTCACATAAAAATAATGTTTTGTACTTTCTGTACGTATACAAAAAAAACATGATCACTATTTACAAAAGATATAAATGCATAAGTTTTTGACATTTTGAATAATATATTTACTGAGCACGACGCACCTGGTAAGTAATCCATGAACGAAGGTGTTGCTGTGATGATCGCTATAAAAAAAAATTCGTGCTAACGTAGGCCACGTAGCTGGGATGGAGAAAAATCACCCAGGGTAGATGAGGTCACTTACAACAGTGGCACATCACCAAGGAGACTTCCAAGTGCTTTCTGAAATTTTCCATTCGTGGCAAGTCATGTCAGCACCTGAAAAACCTTCGGATTTGGGAGATCTTCGGATTTTGCCTTTTTGGATAAAGGATACATAACCTGTAGTTTTCATCACCACACAATTGACTCTGAATTTTCTCCAAGTCATGGTGAATGAATGTACTCTCAAAGAGGCTTCTAAACTCGTGTTTACCTCAGAAATCATGTGGAACATATATACGATCCATCTCGAAAGATGCTTGGAAATGGTTCGCTCCAGGAAGTATTTGGTTCCTCCTGACATGCGCTATATACAAGAATTACATCAGACAAAAATGGGGTATTGCAGTTTCAACTGGGATGGAGCTGGCCGATCATCTATTTCCAGTCCTGACAGAGTGCAAAAGCGTTTGCGCGGCCTTGTGGGTGATGAATTATTTTCCGCTCAGAAATCGATTTTCCCCGAAACAAACGTCGCACGGCTCTTGCTGTTCTGTCGCATTTTTCATAGCAAATGTGCTGACGAGTTTAACCAGTTCAGATATTTAGAACCATCTTCATTCTCTTTGTATGTCATTCAAAAGAAGGAAGTTTCATTCGGACAGCATCTTTCCAAGAACTGCTTTGCATAATAGACTCCCAAGAGAATGTTTCCCCGATTACTACAAGCTTAACCGCTTCAAGTTCAAACTCAGCCGTTATCCTACATATATTCATAACCTACATTTCTTACCTTCTGCTACGCTCATGAAACAACATCATTCAGAAGCCCTCTTCCTTGAATGTCTCTTGGGCCTTGGAATGGGTAAAAATTAGAGTTTGTCTATATTTCTGAGATGAGGTATTATGTACAGTATTTACATTAGTCGGACTATTGTCTTCATCTTTGTCGCCATATTTGTCACAACGTTTCGGCCGTTGTACGCTCCGGCCTTCTTCAGGTGGTTGGAATTTCGAACTGAACCCTTTATTTCGATCGCTGGGGTAGACTGTTCTAATTCCACGTGCCATGTTTGATGGATGTCAGTTATCAGTTATCTCCTGCTAATTTTCCCTCTGAAAGTTCTCCACTGCCTTAACCAGGAATTGAACTCACCTTCACTGACTGTCACTGGATCTAACCAACGCCTTTATCCACTGTGCCATGTGTCCTTGAGGACATCTGGGTATGAACTTCTGAGTATTATAAATGTTTTCAGCATCATTTTTACCAGTGCTCATATTGCAATTTTTGCTGTTACCATTGCATGTCTTTACCAGAGTTCATATTGCAACTTTGTTATCATTGCTTTTCTCTGGCACTCCTTATTTCTTGTTCCCATATTGTATTTATTTCTATGCTTAGTCGGCTCAGGAGATTTTTGTGGCCTAGCATATGTGCTGATTCCTTAAATTTACGAATTTTCCAATGGTGTTCCCTATCTATGATCTCAACATGATCTCCCTTCTCTCTCCATATGTGGTCAGCCACGCCTGATTTTTCTACTTCCCCTCGCGTTACAGCTTTCTGGTGTTCTTGAAGCCTTACCTTGAGGGGGCGGCCTGTCTCTCCTTTATATTCCTTTCTGCAGCTGCATGGGATAGCGTACACACAGTCTTTAGTCATGTTACTCTCTATGGGGGGTCTCACTCGTGAGAGATACCTGCGAAGTGTTGTCACGCTTTTGAAGGTTGTCCTGATGTTATATGGACCGCAGATCCTTTGTATTTTCTCTGATAACCCCTTCACATAAGGCAGGCAGACTGTTTTCTGAGTGTTGTTGTCCTCCTCCTCTTGTACCCGCCTATCCCAGTTTTGGGGGGCTGCTGCCATGTACCCAGGGTAGTTGTTGCGTTGTAGGGTACTACTTATACTGACCAATTCCTTATCTAACGTCTCTGGATCGCCACTTATGATTTTGCTCGGTGTTGTAAGCATCGGACGATCCCTTTCTTTACGTTGTATGGATGGTGGGAGTTGAAATTGAGGTACTGTCCGGTGAATGTTGGTTTACGGTATACGGATGTCTTGAACCCATTCTCTGTTCGAGATATTAGTACATCCAGGAATGGGAGTGAGTTGTTACTCTCTTTCTCCATTGTGAACTGTATCGAAGGTCTTATTGGGTTCACATGGTCCAGAAGAACCTGGACTTCTTCCTGATGTGGCCAGAGTATGAAAGTGTCATCTACGTACCGTAACCATATAGTTGGCTTTAGCGATATAGACTCTAATGCCATTTCTTCAAAGTATTCCATGTATATATTCGCCATTGCTGGTGATAATGGCGAGCCCATTGCTAAGCCCTCATCCTGTCGATATATGTGAGATTCCATTCCGAAGTGTGTTGTTTGTGTACAGAAAGTCAACATCTCCATCAGATTATCTATTG